TACTCAATTGTTATGATACTACGTGAAGTCATCCGCCCCCGAATGTTTCCGCCATTCTGGTTTGGGGGTGCGACAGCAGTGACTGATTAATGGAAATGGAAATTTCAGGAATTTTTTATGGCTTTTCAGTGGTTTCTGTTGTAATGCTTGATCAATGTTAGAGACTGAAAGAGGTTTTTGATTTCTTGTATGTATTGATCTTCTATCGAAAACAAGTGATGTAGAAAAAAGGGGAAATGGCTGGCTTTTAGTGTTTTGGGAATAGAAGAAGGATAGTGGTAAGTGGCAGCAGTGAAGAGGGGTTTCCCGGTGGTGGTGGTGGTAGACATTTGAGGTGGTGGTGCTAGTGGTTAACTTTCAAGAAAAGAGAAATAGATATATACATATATATTAGGTGGACCCATAAATTTAATTAAAATACTTTTTAATAATTAAAAATAATCAAAAATATTAAAAGTAAATGAAAAATAAAATTGAAAAGGACATTATTGTCATTTCATATCCCGTAAGGGATTAAGTGTGCAAATTCAAACTAACGAGGGATGAATTGTGCAACTTTTAACCAAACGAGAGACAGTCCGAGTTAATTTTTGAGAATAGGGATTGAACGTGCTTTCTAGCACATGCACGAAAGACATTTCGTGTAATTTACTCAAAATAATTTTTCTAAACTGAAGTTAAGTTGTTGAAGTCGTATTTGTGCTCCACAACGACACAAAGAATGGATTAATGTATTAGATTTAATGACAATCGAAAATAACATTTGGATAAAATTCCTTGTCAATACGCAAGTGATAAATTTGTCTTAATAACAATACGATTAGTTTGAATTTTATTTTCAACAAGAACATGTGTTACTATATTATGACATACAATAAAAAAAATACTAGATATGTGTCTTTATAATTTGTTACATTTAGGCAATGAATTGTGCAAGACCATGAGATGTAATGGCATATGGGCTTATATGCCAAAAGCTCATTCAATGGTTTTTCCAACGAAATGTTATGTATCAAGATTTCCTTTAGTTAATTTTGATTTTTTATGTATCCTCTTATTATCTTTATTCGATCATTACTTGTGAACCTAATGTCAACTTCATGTTTTAACCAATGTTTTAAAAACCGGTTTGAACCGGCCGGTCGAACCGGTTGGACCGGGAACCTGGGGAGGGAGCGGTTCAACTATCACCGGTTTTATGTCGATTTCTGAACCGGATTGAACCGGCCGGTTTTTAGAAAAACCAGTCGAACCGGTCAAAATAAACCGGTTGAACCGGTTAAACTGAATAAAAACGTATGAAAAAAAAAAACATTTACATAATAAACTTTGGATTTTTTTTTTCAAATATATTTAGTTTTCTCTAAATAAAAACATATGATAAATGTTATAAAGTTTTTTAATGTGTTTGTATTCATCTAAAACTATATTTTGTTTCAGTATTATAATTTATTTTCTTTTTGACGTATATGGATTGATATAAAACACTAAAACTTATGGTTATGTGTTATTTTAATGTATTTTGATTCATTTACAACTTATTTTTATGTGTATTTTTAATATTTGAACTTATAAACATCAAATTCATGATTTATATATGTATGTATGTGTAAGAAAATTAGAAAAAACATGAAAAATATTGAAACCGGTTGACCCGATGGTCGAACCGGTTAAACCGGTTGAACCGGGAACCGGTAATCATAACGGTTCAACTAAAAAACTGGTTTTTAAAACATTGGTTTTAACCTACTAAACAAAACAAAACAAAACGATTTCAACCAAAATTTCTTGATTTTAACAAATAAAGGAAACCGAATATAACAACAACCAATTTGATTACGTTTTTCATTTTTTGGACTACATAAAGAAAGATGTTGTAGTTCAGGGACTATTTTGTAAAATATTACCCAAATGTTAAGCGGTTTAACCTCTTACGGATCCGCCCCTTTTATTGACTTAAACCCATCATATAAAACCAAATAAAAAACCCAGGTTCCCATTTTAACTCGTTTTCGTATCCACAAACCCCGTCGTGGTTTTTTGTCTACGCTTCGTCGGATCAGATCACCACAAGAAACCCTAGTAAGTTCTCGCTTCATTTTCTCGAGCAAACTTTTGGTCTTCTCGTATTATTACTTTGATTATTCCATGTTTATTTGTAATCCCAACGCCTTTTTATCGATTATGAATGTATATATGTCGAAGTAATTGACCATATGTGTTCATAATTCATCTTATTTTCGATGTTTCTGGTTGCTCGCTTTACATATACATGTAGGTTTTAGTTGCTTTATAATTAGGTTTTCTGTTATGTCCGGGTTATTATTTTATAAAAAAAGGGCTATGTCAGTTTCTTCGTTGATTTTCTGTTTTGTTTCTCTTTGATGGTATAGGCTGGTGTGTGTTAAATTTATGCTTAATTTGATTTTCGATGGTGATAGTCTCATGTATGCTTATGTGGATTGTTCGTGGACTTTGAGGTAATTTTGGATTTTAATGAAGTCGACTGGAATCTAACGTTTACTGGTGGATTTTGTTCTGGTGTTTTTCCAGTTTGAGGAAGAGTTGAAATTATGGATCCGGTTGATGCAGAAATTGCAAAGACACAGGAAGAAAGGAAGATTATGGAGGCAGCCCTAGCGCCAAACTCCATTACTTTTGATACTGAGCTTTATGATGGGAGCAATCGGTTTCAGGATTATAACAGGGAGATTCCTGCTAATGATGATGAAGAGAACGCTGATGCCATGGATAATGAGGTTGCTAGGAAATTAGCTTCTTACACTGCCCCAAGGTCTCTCTTGAATGATATGCCCAGAGGTGGAGATGATGACGAATCTTTGGGGTTTAAGAAATCACAGAGGATTATCGACAGGGAGGATGACTACAGAAGAAGAAGGTTGAATCAGGTTATCTCACCAGAAAGACATGATGCTTTTGCAAATGGGGACAAAACTCCAAAACCTGAAACAAGAACATATGCTGATATTATGAGGGAAGCTGCTTTGAAAAGAGAGAAAGAGGAGACATTGAAGGTGATTGCTAGGAGGAAAAAGGAAGAGGAAGAGAACAAAGCAGCTGGAAAGGAAAGGGAACCAGCTGCTACACAGCCATCTCAAAAGAGAAGAAACAGATGGGATCAAAATCAAGACAATTCAGATGCAAAGAAAGCAAAAAGTGGTTCTGATTGGGATATGCCAGATTCAACTCCAGGGATTGGAAGATGGGATGCTACTCCAACTCCGGGTAGAATCGGTGATGCCACTCCTTCTTTATCCCGGAAAAACAGATGGGATGAAACTCCTACACCTGGTCGTTTGGCTGATTCCGATGCTACCCCTGCTGGTGGGGCCACTCCAGGTGCTACTCCAGCTGGAATGGCATGGGATGCTACTCCAAAGCTCTCTGGCCTTGCTACCCCTACACCAAAACGCCAAAGATCAAGATGGGATGAAACTCCAGCTACCATGGGAAGTGCGACACCTGGCGGTGCTACACCCGCAGCCGCCTACACACCTGGCGTGACACCTGTCGGTGGGGTCGAACTCGCCACCCCAACTCCCGGAGCTATAAATCTCCGTGGCGCCATCACACCTGAACAGTATAACTTACTTAGATGGGAGAAAGACATTGAAGACAGGAATCGCCCTTTAACAGATGAAGAACTTGACACCATGTTTCCTCAAGAAGGCTACAAGATTCTTGAACCTCCACCTTCTTATGTCCCAATCAGAACTCCTGCAAGAAAGCTTCTTGCTACCCCAACTCCTCTTGGAACACCTCTGTACTCGATTCCTGAAGAAAACAGGGGACAACATTTTGATGTTCCAAAAGAAATGCCAGGTGGGCTTCCGTTCATGAAGCCAGAAGATTATCAGTATTTTGGCGCTTTGTTAAACGAAGAAGACGAAGAGGAACTCTCTCCAGATGAACAGAAAGAGCGAAAGATCATGAAACTTCTTCTCAAGGTCAAAAATGGAACTCCCCCTCAAAGGAAAACCGCTTTGAGACAGCTCACTGATAAAGCCCGTGAACTTGGTGCTGGACCTTTGTTCAACCGTATTCTTCCTTTACTTATGCAGCCTACTTTGGAAGATCAAGAGAGACATTTGCTTGTGAAAGTTATTGATCGAGTCCTTTACAAACTCGATGAACTCGTTCGACCTTATGTTCACAAGATTCTTGTTGTGATTGAACCTTTGTTGATTGATGAAGATTATTACGCGCGTGTTGAAGGTAGAGAAATCATCTCCAATCTCAGTAAAGCAGCCGGTTTAGCCACCATGATTGCTGCAATGCGTCCGGATATCGACAACATCGATGAATATGTCAGAAACACAACTGCTAGAGCTTTCAGTGTTGTTGCATCAGCACTTGGCATCCCTGCTTTGTTACCATTCTTGAAGGCTGTTTGTCAGAGTAAGAAGTCATGGCAAGCAAGACACACAGGTATCAAGATTGTTCAACAAATCGCCATTCTTATCGGTTGTGCTGTTCTTCCTCACTTGAGGTCTCTAGTTGAGATCATAGAACATGGTCTTAATGATGAAAATCAGAAAGTCAGAACAATTACTGCTTTGTCCTTAGCTGCTCTAGCCGAGGCTGCTGCTCCCTATGGTATTGAAAGCTTTGACTCGGTTCTTAAACCGTTATGGAAGGGTATCCGGTCCCACCGTGGTAAAGTTCTAGCTGCTTTCTTGAAGGCAATCGGGTTTATCATCCCTCTAATGGATGCTATTTACGCGAGTTACTACACAAAAGAAGTTATGGTGATTTTGATTCGTGAGTTCCAGTCACCAGATGAAGAAATGAAGAAGATTGTTCTGAAAGTGGTGAAACAGTGTGTGAGTACAGAAGGTGTTGAGGCTGATTACATTCGTAGCGATATCCTACCGGAATTCTTCCGGAACTTTTGGGTGAGACGAATGGCATTGGACAGAAGAAACTACAGACAGCTTGTTGACACGACAGTGGAAATTGCAAACAAAGTTGGTGTTCCCGACATTGTTGGAAGAATAGTTGAAGACTTGAAAGATGAAAGCGAGCCTTACAGACGAATGGTGATGGAGACAATCGAAAAAGTTGTAGCAAATTTGGGTGCTTCCGACATCGATCCACGATTAGAAGAGCTTTTGATCGATGGGATTTTGTATGCTTTTCAAGAGCAAACAAGCGATGACGCGAATGTAATGCTTAACGGGTTTGGTGCGGTTGTGAATGCTCTTGGTCAACGAGTCAAACCTTATCTCCCTCAAATCTGTGGTACCATAAAATGGCGTCTAAACAACAAAAGCGCCAAAGTCAGACAACAAGCAGCTGATTTAATTTCAAGAATCGCAGTTGTCATGAAACAGTGTCAAGAAGAACAACTAATGGGACATCTTGGAGTTGTGTTATACGAGTATTTAGGAGAAGAATACCCTGAAGTTTTGGGGTCTATCTTGGGCGCATTAAAAGCAATTGTGAATGTTATCGGTATGACGAAAATGACCCCCCCGATAAAAGACCTTTTGCCACGTTTAACCCCTATCTTGAAAAATCGTCACGAAAAGGTCCAAGAAAACTGTATCGATTTAGTCGGACGTATCGCTGACCGTGGAGCTGAATTTGTCCCCGCAAGAGAATGGATGCGAATCTGTTTCGAGCTTCTGGAGATGCTAAAAGCCCACAAAAAAGGAATCCGTAGAGCCACAGTCAACACATTCGGCTACATTGCAAAAGCAATTGGGCCACAAGACGTGTTAGCAACTCTACTCAATAACCTAAAAGTCCAAGAGAGACAAAACCGCGTTTGCACCACTGTAGCAATCGCAATCGTGGCTGAAACATGTTCGCCATTTACGGTTCTCCCCGCGTTGATGAACGAGTATCGTGTCCCGGAATTGAATGTTCAAAATGGTGTTTTGAAATCGTTATCTTTTCTTTTTGAATATATCGGTGAAATGGGGAAGGATTATATCTACGCGGTGACTCCGTTGCTTGAAGATGCGTTGATGGATAGGGATTTGGTGCACAGACAGACGGCAGCGAGTGCGGTGAAGCACATGGCGTTGGGGGTGGCGGGGTTGGGGTGTGAGGACGCGTTGGTCCATTTGTTGAATTATGTGTGGCCGAATATATTTGAGACGTCCCCTCATGTGATAAACGCGGTGATGGAGGCGATTGAGGGGATGAGGGTGGCGTTGGGGGCGGCCGTGGTGTTGAATTACTGTTTGCAGGGGCTGTTTCATCCGGCCAGGAAGGTGAGGGAGGTGTATTGGAAGATTTACAATTCGTTGTATATTGGGGCTCAGGATGCACTTGTTGCGGCTTATCCTGTGTTGGAGGATGAAGGGGAGAATGTTTACAGTAGGCCCGAGTTGACCATGTTTATCTGAGTTGGTGTCTACTTCTTACTTGTTCGTATTATTAACTTTTTCATCTTATAATATGTTATCTTGGATGCTGCTACTTTTTAATATTGTCTGGAGGATATTATATTTGTTATTTGTGATAATAGCAGCTGGTTTTGTTTGTGATGGGATTGGTGTAAAATTTTGTCTGTTTTGTTGTTTTTCTGGATGATAGGTACCAAAAGCATTGTGTAAAGGTGGATCAGTAGTCTACATGTCTTGTCATCTTGATGATGAAGAGGTAGGGTAAGTAACTCACCAATCATTTATTTAATTTGATAATATTAGAGAAGAGATGTATGTATGAGTATATCAGTTACCATCAACAGAAAAAGCAGCACATTGATTACCTGCAGTTTTCCCCTTGAAACAATGAATGGTGTATAAAAATCTTGATTAATAGATTCTGGTTTACAAGGACCTTTAGGCTTTTTAACTTTGGAATTTTGGATTCGTCTGTGTTGTGTTGTGTTGGTTCATACTTATGATTGGTTATATGTTCAAATCTATTTCAAAGCAACATATGCATTTACCATCTGCGCTATACTTAGTTTGGTTTACATTTTGAAAATCGACCTTGCGTTTTTATACACCTAAAACAAATTATCTTTTTCAGAGATAAAATGTAATACTTGTGAAATATAATATACTTCACTAGGTATAGTTTTTGTTTTGCGAGTGGTTATTTATCATAAAGGATCTTCTTGGTTGATTCAAAAGTATAAAAATATATACACAAACTGTGGGGCCCCCGGCTATGCAAAAGGCTATATACAAAAGTGGCTACATAACAATACCAATAATAGTATACAGTCGAACATCCCCTTTTAGTTTGATTCGGTGGAAATTGATCAACGTTCAAACCTGGACTTGAAGTTTTGAAATAAAGTAAAGTAAAGGTTCTGCATGAAGATTGAAGATGTCTGCAAACTAAGAAAATGACAGAACATGTAGTATGCTAATTAGACCCTAAAATGTATGCCGATCTCTTAAAGATATTCCCATATGTGTTGCACAAAAGACTTGCAACCTCTCGTAGATGGCTTCTTATGTACGCATTGGGGTATAAAGCGTGTGGCTGGCGTGCGTTGTGCTATCCTCACACAAACCCAGAAGTGAAGTGATATAAGGCCAAATATGCATAAAACTATACATAAAGGCAAAATAATAATGCAACTAATAATATGCAATCTAGCAATTTGATGACATTTTCTAAGTGTGTTATGAGGTCATGTGACCTGTTTTGCATATGCTCATTTTAACGAATAACTTTTACATATGTAAATGTAAGTGAAAGTAATATAACAAAATAGTAAGCAGATAAATAGAAAAAGTATAAAAGTAATTAATATTTCATCAATGTGATCCGCAATAAAAGTAGAAGAGGGCTCTATGGGTCCTACATAATTGATATGCCACTATCTATTTACTACCATTGCTAAATCATTCGAGTCAAGCCACTTAAGAACTATCTCGGATCCGTTTCTTAGGCTAAGGAAAGTTGTTTCTTATGTTAAGGAAAGTGGTAACACTCCTAACATCCTGCCACGTCATATTTTTTAGGACCACCTTATTTTTGACTATTTAGCACCTAACCTTAGCATTTTGTAGAAAGTGGTAACACTCCTATCACCCTAACTTTTTTTGATTTCTTTTTTCTTATTTAATCAAATTACTTTATTTTAATATACAAACATTTTTTGTACACAAATATTAAACATATTTTATTTTTTTAAACCACAAACAATTAATATAATATAAATTATATTTGGGTAAAAATTAGATTTGTTAATAAAAAAACCACCAATCACAAATAATCTCTCTCTCTCTCTCTCTCTCTCTCTCTCTCTCTCTCTCTCTCTCTCTCTCTCTCTCTCAATTTTTGACGAGCTGATCTTAGCTTCCCCCTAGCGAGTGCTAGGGGGTGGTGTGCGTTTGAGTTTAGCGAGTTTGGCGAAGGTTCTTAACACCCCCACTCCCTTTAGCCTTAAAGGCTTGACTGACTTGAACTCTAACTTAATTTGAGACTTAATCGTTATTCGTTAAGACTCTGAGACGAGTTTGAGTCATTGAGCTTAACTTGCAAGCTAAATAAACTTCTACAAATATATAAACAAGCAATTTGTTCATCCACATTGTAAGGAAGGGTGATTGGGAGCCGGATGTGTATTTATATACGTCACCTTTTACAAAAAATGTTTGACACAAAATCTTTTAAGTCACTTGACTACAACATTGCATTTATATTTATAAAAAAATTTGTTATTTCTTTATATGCGTTTTTTTGTATATTTATATGGTTTAAAATGTATTTATATTTCTAGACGTAAAAATATAGTTTTTACATCTAAAAAGCGCAAAAATAAATATTTAGGTTATTATAAATAGTAAAAAACTAACATTCTTAGAAATGTTCTTTTATGTTCATATAAGTATAAATATATATTATTTCTAAAAAACACAAATACATATTTATATTTTTAAAAATATATTTATAAAATACGTATTTATACTTTTAAAAAACATATTTTTATTTTTAAAGACATAGAACCCTAATCATCATTCCCTCTCATTTGTGAGATAGTGTGGTATTTTTAGAGCAAAAGAAAAAGATGGAAGAAGGAAGCAAGGATCTAGCAAACAAAGCTCTAATCTTCAATTTAGCACTCTTCTGGACCTTTGTAAGTGTCCAAGATCCGATTTTTATTCATTTATGTACCTAGATCTAGAGTTTTGTCCATTTTCTCCTTATTCTTGGATGTTGCAATGGATGGATCTCATAAAGCTTGCAACTTTATGAATCTCCAGGTCAAGGTGACCTTGTAGTGGTTTGGATCTGGTCTTTAGCCAAGTTTTGATGCCATGCTTGGAGTTTAGGTCATATTTCCCCCTTTTTTTACCCAATTTGGGTTCAAGACATGCATGTCTATAAAGCACCAACCTTTGGGATGATTTTGAGGCTAGAATCTCTTCTAGAAAAGTTGGGTTTCAGATCTCAAGGATTTTTTGCTTAATGGTTAAGCCCTTGAGTCTTTAAGCCTTATGGAGGGGTTTTTGAGCACTTGGAGTAGCCCCAAAGGATAAAGTTGGAAACTTTATCCTTTCAGACAACATTTGAGTTTAGATATGAGCCTTAGAGTCCCTGGAATCGAAGAAACAGCTGAATACATTATGATGGGGAAAACTCGGCGTATTTGCCAACCAACTCGACGTGTTGGCTAGGGTTTTCCCGACCATCTGATTTCTATAGGAACTCGACGTGTTTATTGGTGCACTCGATGACTTTGACTTTGACCACGGTTGACCAAGTTTGACTTTTGAGGGCATTTTGGGTATTTCGGGATTTTGATGGAATTAGTCACATGGTGGTTGTAGGTATTTGAGTCGGGAGCTGAGATTCGGAGTCAGACCTTATCGGTTCTGCAATTCTAGTGAGGTGAGTCTTCCTCACTATACTTTCGGGTCGAAGACACCAAGGCTGGCCCATTGGTTTGATAACCTGATATTGTGTATGCTGAGTATGGAGTAGATATGCATGCTAGTTTTGATATGCTAGTTTGGTAGATCTGTAGGAAAACCTGTGATACTGCCTGTTTATCTGTATATGATATTATCTGTTATATGTCGACATATGGTGTGGTTTGGGTTGAGGTTGTACTGCTCCGTGCTGTAGCCAACAAACCCTGGAGCATACCAGATATGAGCTGAGGGCCAGGAAGGGCATGCCAGACTCATACTGAGGGCTCATGAGCATTCCAGATACGAGCTGAGGGCCGGGTAGGGCATGACAGACTCGTACTGAGGGGCGGGGAGCAAGCCAAACATAAGCTGTGGGCCCAGGGGGCAAACCAGACTTATGCTGTGGGCTCAGGGGTAATCCAGTCTGTTAGCTGTGGACCCATTGCATGCTGTTATTATATTTGTGCTATTTATTATGTACTGGTATTTTGGGGGAACTCACTAAGCTTTGGGATTACAGTTTTGGGTTATGTTTCAGGTACTTCAGAGGATCGCTGGAAGACGAAAGCGTGATCGTGCACATTCTCATGCTTTATTTCATGATTTTGGGATTTCTCTGATATCAGATTTATTTTGTAAACAATTTGTAAACAGTGATGGTTTTGGGGTTTATTTAAAAGTTGAAATTTTTTCATGAATTTTATGAGTGTTACAAGTTGGTATCAGAGCCTTGGTTTGTAACATCCGAAAAATCATGACAAAAAATTTCATTTTTTTTAATTATTAAATAAACTATAGTTACCAAAATCATGTCATCCAAAAGCATAAGTCATCGTATCAATTCAGAGTATCATATCAAAACTCATGTCTATATATCAGAGTAAAACATCCCAGGCTAAAAACATAATAGTGTGTGCACTGCAGTCATCCCGAGTTCTTCCCCTTGCTACCGGAAGTACATGAAACCAAAACTGAAAACTATAAGCACGAAGCTTAGTGAGTCTCCCCAAACTACCACATACCATACACATATCATAAAACATGCAACTAGGAGATACGAGCCTCACCCACACTCAAGGAGATACGAGCCCCCGCCCACACTTGACTAACTATGAGATACGGGCCTCGCCCACACTCAGCTATCTCAGAGATACATGCCTCGTCCACACTCTGCTTACTAGGAGATACAGGCCCCCGCCAACACTCCACTGGCTAGGAGGTACGGGCCTCGCCCACCCTCCGCTATCCAGGAGATACGGGCCCCCGTCCACACTCCGCTAACCAGACATACATACAAGTATCACGCAGACAACAACTATAACCATAATCTACCAATTCATATTCATACTCAAATAATACTAAGATACGGCCCCTGCCCACACTTAGATACTAATCATAAATAAGGTTAAGATACGGGCCTTGCCCATACTTAACTACTAATCATCATACATTCTCTACACGGGCCGGCATTGGTGCCTTAGACCCGTTCATACAGGAGGAAAATCACCTCAATGTCGTGTGAATAGTTGAAACCTCTCTGCTCCGCAACCGGCTCTACTCACACCCTATACATATTAACCTTTTAGATACCATTCCATACTCAAAATCCCCTTCACGGGTCAACCTTGGTCAAAGTCAAGGTCAAGGTCAAGGTCAAAGTCAACATCCGGTCAACGTCAACAATCTGAGTTGACTCAACTCGCCGAGTTCCATAAATCAGAAAACCCTGAAATCGCAATCCAACTCGTCGAGTTCTTCACGAAATCATCGAGTTTCTCCTATCAACAGCATCGGGACTTTCCAACTCTGCTCGTCGAGTCCGTCCTTGAACTCGTCGAGTCTTACCTTCTACAGGGTCGGGGCATTCTGACCCAACTCGTCGAGTTCCTCTCTGAACTGGTCGAGTTCTTCAGTCTGTTAAGCTATCT